GGTTAGTGGGGAGCACTGGAGAGGAGGAGAAGAGAGCGAACATTGCGAGATATAAGGTAGCTAGGAAGGAGGCAAAGATGACAGTGACGGAGGCAAAGACGACAGCTTTTGCTCGTTTGTATGAGGAACTAGGGAACAAAGGTGGGGAGAAGAAGTTACTCCGACTCACTAAGGTGAGAGAGAGGACGGCTCGGGATTTGGACCTAGTGAGGTGCATAAAAGATGAGGACGGCAAAGTTTTGTTGGGGGATGACCAGATAAAGAGGAGATGACAGACCTACTTTCATAAATTTCTAAATGAGGAAGGGGATCAGGATATTGTATTAGGTGAATTGAGGAACGACGACAGCCCCCATGAACTAAGTGATTGTCGGGACATTGAGGTCGATGAGGTCATGGAGGCAATGCGTAAGATGAGAAGGGGCAGAGCTACCGGACCAGATGAAATTCCGGTTGAGCTTTGGAGGTGTGTGGGTAGAGCAGGCTTGGAATGGCTTACTAAGTTGCTTAATGTTATATCCAAGACTAATAGGATGCCCGAAGAGTGGAGGTGGAGTACAATGGTCCCGTTGTATAAGAACAAAGGCGATATCCAGATCTGTAACAACTATAGGGGTATTAAATTACTAAGTCATACCATGAAAGTCTGGGAGAGAGTGGCAGAAATGAGAGTGCGAAGGACAGTGTCTATTTCAGACAACCAGTTCGGGTTTATGCCGGGGCGATCTACCACAGAATCTATCCACCTTATTAGTAGGACGGTGGAACAATACAGGGATAAGAAGAAGGATCTCCACATGGTGTTTATCGATCTAGAGAAAGCGTACGACAGGGTTCCTAGGGAGGTCTTATGGAGATGCTTAGAGGCTAAAGGGGTCCCGATTGCCTACATTAGGGCGATTAAGGACATGTATGATGGAGCTAAGACTCGGGTTAGGACAGCAGGAGGCGATTCAGATTATTTTCCGATTATTACAGGATTGCATCAAGGGTCTGCGTTCAGCCCTTTCCTATTTGCCCTGGTGATGGATGCTATAACACATCATATTCAGGGGGAGGTGCCATGGTGCATGCTATTTGCTGATGACATAGTCCTAATCGACGAGACACGACGCGGCGTCAGCGAGAGGTTAGAGGTTTGGAGACACACCCTTGAGTCCAAAGGTTTCAGGTTGAGCAGGACGAAGACGGAATACCTTGAGTGCAAATTTGGGGCAGAGCCGACGGAAGCGGGAGTGGAAGTGAGGCTTGATTCTCAAGTCATCCCTAAGAGGGGTAGTTTCAAGTACCTGGGGTCGTTTATTCAGGGGTCCGGGGAGATCGACGAGGATGTCACACACCGTATAGGGGTGGGGTGGATGAAATGGAGGTTAGCGACGGGAGTCCTGTGTGACAAGAAAGTGCCACTGTTACTGAAAGGTAAATTTTATAGGGCAGTGGTTAGGCCTGCTATGTTGTATGGGACCGAGTGTTGGCCGGTGAAGATCTCACACATCCAGAGGATGAAAGTTGCAGAGATGAGGATGTTGAGGTGGATGTGCGGGCATACAAGGAAGGATAAGATTAGAAATGAAGATATTCGAGAGAAGGTGGGTGTGGCCCCCATGGAGGACAAGATGCGGGAAGCAAGACTCAGATGGTTCGGGCACATTCAGAGGAGGAACACTGATGCACCGGTGAGAAGGTGTGAACGACTNGAACTCCAGGAAAACTCGCGGGTCATCACAACCTTTGCCAAAACCTCTGTCCTTCGGGTGAACACTCTGTGCGCACTGGGTAAACCCTTCCACCGTGTAAATAGCCTGCAAACCACACAGAGAATGTAAACTGCACCATGCAAGCTCCGTGCGACAGGCTCGACGATCCAAAAGGCATTAAGGGGGATCGATCCCATGTCATCTGCTCTCCAAACCAACTGGGCTACATTTACTTAAGTAAATGATAATTTTCCTCTCCTAATCCAACGATTTTGTGACAAATAATTACTTATAACAGTGTGACCAAAGAATCTTGACTTTACTTGATCTTTATTCTTGCATCATCCCTATAATATGAATGATTAAAGCCTATTGTTTAGATCCACTAGTAATTACAGTATTTTACCTATGCGTTAGCGAAAGGCAGGTTCAACAAATAGAAACAAGTCCTAAATGTCAAAAACTTGATCAATATACACGGCTAATTATATTAAACCAAGAAATATCACGTTGAAACATCACTTTCCTAACTCCAAATTAAATGCATGGTACTTTAATTTTAATTTATTTTATCAAACACATGCTTAGAACTCTATATAAAGAGACTAAGAGTAACCAGTCCTTCCCACTACTCAAAAAATAAAGAGCTAATTTAATTTAATTTAATTTCTCTCTGAAATTTTGTCTAGTTACGATCAATGGCCTCTAAATTATTATTTGCATTTATCTGCATTCTTCTTCTCTCCATTTCTGCTCAGAGCTACACCCGTCGTGTTCGCGCTCCTTGCAAAGAAATGGTGTTTTACTTTCATGACATTGTTTACAATGGTGAAAATTATAAAAATGCGACTTCAACCATAATTGGCGCACCAGAATGGGGCAATAGGACCATAATGGCAAGTCCTAACAATTTTGGGGACTTGATTGTATTTGATGATCCAATTACACTCGACAACAATTTACACTCAACCCCAGTTGGAAGGGCACAAGGCATGTATTTTTACGATCAAATGGACACTTTTAGTTCTTGGCTTGGTTTCTCTTTTGTGTTTAATAATACAGATTATAAAGGAAGCTTGAATTTTGCTGGCCATGACCCTTTGATGAACAAAACTAGGGACATTTCAATAATTGGTGGAACTGGTGATTTTTTCATGGCTAGAGGAATAGCCACTTTGAGCACTGATGCATTTGAAGGAAGTGTTTATTTTCGACTTCGCGTCCACATTAAGTTGTACGAGTGTTGGAAATTACTCTAGTTCCGCGTTTTGTTTTCTTGATCATTTGCATTTATGTGCTTGTTGAAAAGATGTATAACCTCAATTTGAGGGTCAAGAACTGTTTCTTGACTTCAATTTCCTTTTTATTTTCATGAGTTGCATATATATGTGTGGTCATTGATTGTACTGTTTCAGCCTTCTGTTTCTGTACGGAGGTTTCGATTTAAAATAAGCTTTCAGACTTTATAATATATGTCACGTACGGTAGCAAAATAATCTGTCATTTGTTTTGTTAAAAACTGTTTCAAACTAATTCCCAGCAACTCTAGATACAATTGCTTCAATAATGACCTCGTCGCCCATCCAAGCAGAAATCTTGCCCTGCTAAAAGGATTGGAATTTGCTTTCACAAAAAATCGAATTTCGATCGTAGTGAAAACAAACTGACAGGTATTACTGAACCTTTTAAACGACAAATCCCACAGCAAAGCTAATGCTAATTTTCTCCATGATTGCAGGTTCCTACTCGACGTACAGGGCCAGCCGGATGTTAGGCATGTCTACCGAGAAGGAAATCAATTGGTGCACACACTAGCACAGTATGGGAGCCACTGTAACTTGCATGAACCACCTTTATTAGCTTTCTCTACTTTCTGCAAAGGCTTACTTGGGACTATTTTGTTAAGATCATTCTGGCACTGTAATAACTATCTCTAGCACTTACTTTTTAATAATAAATCCAGCGCCTTCAAGCAACAAAAAAAAAACAAAGAAGCCAAGTTCTTTTTTTATTAACCTCAAACTGCAGCTTATAAAATATGTGAAATGAAGTATAAATATTTTTATGCTATTTACGTGTAATTTAATCTTTTGTACATAAGATTACATATAATGACATTTAACTACCTTTAAGTTAACCTGAATACCTGATTGTGAATTTTTTTTACATCGTATAAAAGTTGAACTGAAAGAAAAATACGTGGAGGTAAATGGTAATAAAGTAAAATCTTGGCGGGGAATGGATAATAACAAAGAAACATGTAACGGTCTAACAGGCGCGCCTTTTTGATTAGCTTATCTTCAAGTGTCCTTGTTCTGTCCACACTCCCATTTCTTCTTTCTTATTCTTATCTTTCTCAATCAAAACCCTCAAAATTCACTCTCTTTCTCTTTTGGTGAAATTTTTGAAAAATGCAAAGCCTAGCGCTCTCTTCTGAGAGCAGCTTTTTGTTTAGGTCTTCTGCTACTTTCCCTAATTTCTCCTCTGCTAACTCCCCTCTAATTGCTATTTCCAGGTAAATTTGATTTCTTTAGCTACCCTTTTATTCTTTTGTTAAAATTGGGCATGAATTGTTACTGTCTTAAGTTATATTTTCTTTTCTTGATTATCTGAAGTTGTTGTGTTCTTGTTTATGGTCAGCATTTAGAAGGTTGTCCGCACAATTTTAATTGTGGACAGGCTATTAGCCTTTTTGTTAATCCTTTTCTCTGTCTTGATTTATGCAACCTGCCTCGTATAAACAATGTGTCCGGTCCAGCTTACATGCGTACTCTGCTCGCCGGGGCAGATGTAGGCTTTCGACTACGGGTTCAATTGAACCCATAACTTTGAATTTCGAGTCAAGAAAAAAATGGCTCGAATGGTACGATCCCTCCGTCACCCCAGAATGAAAGGGATGATCTCGTAGTTCTTGGACGCGGAATATAGATTTCTACGTAAAAACCTACTAAAAAAGGGCAACCCGGTGCACTAAGCTTCCGCTATGCACGGGGTCCAGGGAAGGACCGGACCACAAGGGTCTATTGTATGTAAAAACCTACTAAAATCTCAATAAATATTATGTTTTAATCCATATTAAATTTTAACAGTACAATACGTTAGATGCTAAACATCTTTAAATTTAAATCCTGTATGTCTGCCTGCCATAACCAGTGGCAAAAACACTTACAACCGAATGGTGGTATCGTATGTCTCTGCTTCACTGGAAAATTTAATTAAATTTACATATGTAAATAATATCTTTCGAAAAAATGTGTATACATACAATAGGCCCACAATGCTTGAAGTACATTGTAAAGTGAACATCAATTTTGAGGATAGGAAGAAAAACCTAAGAATCCCACAGCCCCTAGACCCAAACTATTCTACAAGTCGAATTGTGACAACAGGTAGTAAAAACTAAGAATTCCATAGCCTAAACCCAAGCTATTTTACAAGTCGAATTGTGACTATAGGTAGATATTGCTTGTCTGAATCCCCGCTTATCCACTTCAAGGCTTATGTAGATGAGAAGATATCACCTATCGCTTTCTGTCTATGATGTGATTTGAAGAAGATGTGAAAAATATCTTTGTAAATAGGTGGCAGTAAAACTTGAACAATGAGCATCTACGTACCATGTAAAATTGTGCAAACCACCTCATCTAGAGTTTAAACGGGGCATTTATATTTTTTTTGGACATTCAACATTCTGTTTTGGAATTATGATATCTAACGATTGTACTCTATTTTTCTATTGATTGGGTTGTTTACAGGTTTTCTAGGCGGCATTCCCTTAGCGTACATCATGGATGGTTTGAGGACTTGTCCAAGGTTTTTTCTTTTCTTCATATTGAATTGTTTCATATTTCGTTCCGTAAAACCAACATGGTTGTAAGGTGAATTGTTTCAGCCTAATTAATTGTTGTGTTGTAAGGGGTGAAAAATCAGCTGCAAATCAAATTAGTATAAGGGGATATTGTAATGTGTGGGAGAAGGCTTCAAAGAACTAAACATGGGAGGTTGAGATACTGAAATTTCAGCCCCAGTTGTGCAGAGAATTATGATATGCATTTCCCTGGAAAGCATTTCATATAAGCCAAATTCCTTTTCTGATATTTACTCATAGATTATAGACCCACCTTCTCTTGAGCCGAGGGTCTATCAGAAATAGCCTCTCTATCTCCCAAGGTAGGGGTAAGGTCTGCATACACATTACCCTCCCCAGACCCCACTTGTGGGATTATACTGGGTATGTTGTTGTTGTTGTTGTACACATAGATTATAGACCCACCTTCTCTTGAGCCGAGGGTCTATCAGAAATAGCCTCTCTATCTCCCAAGGTAGGGGTAAGGTCTGCATACACATTACCCTCCCCAGACCCCACTTGTGGGATTATACTGGGTATGTTGTTGTTGTTGTTGTACACATAGATTATAGACCCAGATTTAACACCCATACTGCTTTAACCATCAATTGTTTATCTAAGTCAACGAGATATATAATCAGATCACTTCCATTAGTTCCTTGTGATTAGTCAGGTTATCGTTGTTGTATAAGAACTTCTGTGTGGACTGATCATTTCATTATGTCGTAGTTAAAGGTTGTAAGTCTCACTTTGAAGATACATGATCCGATATTCTGGATACTTCTCAGGTGGTCAGGACTAGGAATTACAAAAGCTGCTACATAGCAAGGTCGGCTTGTCGTTCCGAAGAATGCAGTAGTACAAACAGATCAGCATTGTCGAAGAGGAAAAAAGAAAACACTTCTGTTCTTCAAGTTTTAGACATGCCACAGATCAATAATCTGAAATCTGTTGTCATTTCTGGGCTTTTCACTCTTTTGTTCACACAACAAGCAAGTGCTGTTTCAGAGGTTGCCACTGGCTTGCAGTCGTTTCCTTTCTTCGGGGACCTCGGAGATTTAAGCACAGGTTTTGCTTCAGTTAGGAAAATCTCCCAGCAACTTCCATTTCTAAAATCTTGCTGCTGTTTTTACCTTATCCTGAAAAAGGAAATAATAGATGAAACGAAATAACAATGAAAGCATTTCATGCATCATCTGTTGTCTTTTGTATCTTGCCAACTATTCTATTCTCCTTCATGGAACACATAGCACAAATGTACATCATGTATCCAACAAAGAGAGACTTATTCCTTCTTTTGCTCCTATAAATAAAAAATGACTGGCGCCATTGTGTCGTATATGAACTGTTTTAGAACTGCTTTCAGAGTTATTCAGATACTTGATTCTTTGCAAACGGAAAGGAGGACCAGAATTTTGTTGCTAGGATATCTGGCCTTATATTGAAATATATGCATTTGGAGTATTCTGATATAGTGAGGTTTAACCATGGTTGAAAATATCATGTTTAATGTGTTCCTGATTGCAAAGGTGTTCACCAGAATATTATTTCTCTTTTATCTTCTTTGGTTTTATACATTCGGACAAGTATTCCATCAGTTGTTTTTGGCACATAGCACGTGAATGTGATTAGGAAGAGCCTTACCTTTAATTCTCTCAAACTTTGCTTGCTTTTTCCAGCTGCATCACCAATCATCTGTTTTGCACTTTTTCTCCTCCCCTCGCCATATTATACTCTATTTGAGATTGTGAAGGAAAAGTGTTCCACCGGAGAGTAATTAAACCTACTTTTCTTTGTTCCAATTTTGCAGGCATTCTTGTTGATATTTTTCTCAGAGCTTGGGGACAAAACCTTCTTTATTGCTGTAAGGGGACTTTATCATTCAAAAACTATATGTAGATGAGACATTACTGGCTGAATAAAATAATGATATAAAGGCTTTTACATGTGCGTCATCAAAGAGAGGCTCCTTCTAATTTGTTATATTATACCCTCACAACTAATTTGAATATTCATTTATATGAGCAGGCTCTTTTAGCAGCTAGGAACTCTGCTGCCGTCACTTTTTTGGGGACTTTTGGTGCACTTGGGTACGTTATCTTTCTGCACCATGTAATATAGATGGTTTTTATCATTTGTTCTCAATTATTTAAGTTTAACGCAGTAGTTTGGTTATTCTCACTAACTAGAATATGTAATAAACAAGTGTTTTGATGTTGAACTTATCATATCCCGCACAACTTTTTTAATATCCTGGAAGATGTTCTATTTAGAAACCCATCTAACCACTCTAAGCAAACAAAACTGGAATTCATTCTCTTTATATTAATAGTGTCTGTGTCATTGCAGGGTAATGACGATCATATCAGTGGTTCTCGGACGAACTTTCCACTATGTCGATGACGTTCTTCCTTTCAGGTTAACAACCTTTCTCTCCGTATGATTATGCATTTTAAGTATTACAGATAAACTTCTAAAGATGCAATTGTGAGAAATATTTTCAGACTTTTTCCTTTCTTAGTTCTTATAGAAGCAAATAACTTACAATGTTTTTCTGGTTTAATGCTGCTACAAACTCCCTAACCTTATCATGTGAGTAGA